ATATAGATATAGATATACATACATATATATATATATATATATATATAGACAATCCACGTCAGATGAATGAATGGGTCCAGGGACTAGAAGGTGGAGTAGAGGTTGAGGTACTGGCTCCCACATGGCCAACAATGCAGTTTGAGTCCCAGATCCTGTAGCTTGAAAATCACACTGAGTGTGTCTGTGTGGATGCCCAAAATCCCAAGAGGAGGCTGGAGGTCATCTCCCCCTGAAGGGTGGTTTCTCACTTTCTCCCTCTGTCTCTCACTAGCACAAGTGTCCTAAATCAAAATAAAAAATCAAAATGAAATGAATGAGTCCATTATGGAAAGGATAAGAGAGCTGTTGAGATGTGTTCTTTCCAAGATGGTAAGCCTAAGGTCGGGGAGAGGAGGAGAGCGTAATGCAGGGGAAAGTGGAGGATCCCCATGCCCATAAGCAAATCTCTTTCCAGCTGCAAGCCTGAGTCTGATTGGTAATCTCGGGTCAGGGGGCTCCTGGCGGAGGGCAGGGCGAGAGTACAGGGAGAGGGAAAGGCTTCCTGTCTCGCTACTCTGAGGAACACAGCACTCTTGCCCCCCCTCTTAGAGGGTAAATGCTCTTGAAATCCTGCAACAAGGGGCCTGTGTGATTGTGTTCAAGGAGTCACTGGATTAAACAATTTGTCCATAAGACTTTTCCCAAGGTGCACCTAGTACTCCTTAGACACCTTTTGGGAAGCACTCCATGAACAGTTTCAGGCATCCTCTGCCACATTCATGCATCTCGTTGATTTTTCTTAGAAGGAAATAGCTAGCAGTTTAAGTCGATTACCGATTTATGGACTGTGGCCAGTGTTTTGGCTGGTTGGTCAGCCTTGGGGGGAAAATAACTGGAAAATTGGTGATAAGAGGTCTAAGAAAGTTATGCAGATAAACTTCTCTACATAGACAAAGCAATGAAGATATTTGTCTCATGTGAATGCTCACTATTGGGTGACTCAGCAGAGGGAGTTTCTACCAATCAAGAGGACAGGACGGCCTGTTCTGGAGATACCAGCC